TTGCCAACGGCACCGCCCAGCAAGCGAGGGCAGACATCGACGCGAGAGGCTTCTGCCAAGGCAAAACCCAAAGTCCGAGGTCCTGGCAGGAAACAGAAACCGCCGGTCCCCGATTTCAACGACGAAAGATTTGCTAATATCTTCGAGCCTCTTCGAAGGAAGATTTCTGAGTACACTTTAGTAAATGGCCTCCAGGAAGCCTGGCGGGTGGTGGACGCCCTGCGATGGCCAGACCCTGAGGCCGCGAAGCTAGACAAGTCTCTCTCTCGGGTTCAGTGGCTGCGGTGGCAGTTACAGCGCTGTGATACACTGGAAACAAAAGATTATAGCTTGCCGACACTTTTAAGGTTTCTTCGCTCGTTGTTCAACGTCGTACTCTTCATCACTGGGTAGAAGCTACACTCATGGGCATAATGGGCTTCCCGTTTCGGTAAAGTATCTAATTTTCTAAGCAACTTTGATGAAGCCAAAAGTTTGTCAAATGTCTCGCAAACAACTTTAAATGGAAGGCAAAACTCATTTAAAAGCTTTCAAGCCTCACGACCTTTTTTTTCTCAGTCGTCATATTGATGCGGAGCTGCCAAGTGGTGTCTGGAGGCTTACATTAGCGACGAATGTATGGAGATTTTGAGGAAGGCCATTTTGCCCGTGGCTGTAGTATCAACTTGGTTACTTATTTATCTCCTTCAAGAATCGTTCCAAAGCGCCTCCAGGACGCGAGATCCTCACAGGACAAAGACCTTTGAACCAGCACACGTCTTTGGCTGGCGCAAATGCTAAACGTCCCTACAGAATCCACCTGCGCACCTCCTCATGCCCGGGAACGCTGCATTTCACCGCCACGGTCGGTGAAATCTATCCAGCTCTTCCTTCCTCTGGACCCTTTTAGCAAAGCGATGTACCGTCGCTTGACACCAGCATTTTAAAAGTCCGGCAGACCGGTAAAATCCAATTTAGCGAGCCACATGACCTAACCGCGGAACTTTTTCTTCATTAGTTAGTGGACGCAGAACCGAAATAGAAGGCTACATAACCAGACTGTTTATGCACAACTCTAGTAGCATGTATGGTAGAAAAGCTAGGCTTAGTATGGTTGTGTAGACAAGGCCGACTGACGAAGGTTCTAGATGATACTTGAGCAACTACTAAATCAATAATAGTTGGCATGGTGACAGACCATATCTTGTACATACAAATTTCCCCGCTAACTGGTTAGGTGTTTTGGTTCAATAGAGTGGCACGGTTAAGCCACGGCTACGAGTGGAGCACTGGCGTGCAGTCCAACCGATCTGCCCACTTTCTATCCGAACTTCTCTTCGACCAAGTACACTATTCGACATACAATAATCTTCCAGATGGATGCTGAGCAATTAAAAAAGCTTCTCCAAGAGGCAGAGAAGCGTGTTGAGCAAGCAGAGAAAGGACAACAGAAGGAGCGACAACGCGCCGAGGAAGAGCGTCAACGCGCCGAGGAAGCAGAACGCGGGCAGCAGAGGGAGCGACAACGCGTCGAGGAACAGCGACAACGCGCCGATATAGCAGAGGAACAAACAAGACCGACGACATTGGACGAGTATACTGCGGCTTGCCATTCCCTTGTGTATTCTCGGTTTGTCATCGAAACAGACCCAAATCTCACCTCGAAGGGCTCCATCACCAACCCTCGAGACAAGTGGTGTCCTCAAAGTTTGCGGTCATGGTCCGACTTCCTCGAGATCCAGAGGATCGTTTTCGGCAGCATATACGACGCCTTTCCTACCGAGGAACGCGTTTTCGAGAATCGAAACTTTCTTGCAGGCTTGGGAAGTAGGGTATCTCAGCGGCCGGTACAAGACGAGAAGACTCTCGAATATTTTCTACATATCAGCGTTGAGGATCCTGTCCGTGTCATCATAGAACGACTCAAAATGGCGCAAGATGCGAGGGCGGCTTTTGCACTGGGAGACGGCGTCATCTTTGAGAATCACCCTCATGCGCTAAGCGAGGTCGCAGATGAAGTTGTTGACAGCGGGACGCCAGCAACAGCATCGGTGCCACCCCGCACGCCTGACT